CTAATAATGTTTTATGGATTCTCGTCCGTGAAATGTGGCACTTCCGGTATTTTGCCGGTTAGTCGACGCAGGCAATATGAACTCGATGATTTTTTTTAATCGAATAGTCGAATAGAATCGACGAATCGCGACAGCCCTAAATTACATGTTAAAATAGAAAACAGCTGTTTTCCATTGTAATTATATTTCATAATATTGTTTTACTGTATTTTTAATCAAATACAGTTTGATCAGCCTTGATGAGTGTAAGAGACTTCTTGAAAAACATTAAATACAAAGTTTTAAACAGTAGTGTATTTGCTTGAAAAAAATTGCATTGCATTTTGTTTGCTTTCCAAGTGACGTTTAAAATGTAATAATTGTTGTCTTTGAGGTTATTTGTGGTGCATGAGGACTGTTCAGCCTCAGAGCTGCTGAGAGCTCAAGATGTGGAAGATCTCCTACAGAAGGCTTACTGTGACTCTTCTATCGCCATCCTCACTGACCCACTAGCAGACTCACAACGTCAGGACACTTTCCATTCATCCTGTGCATTATATTACTGACCTCTGTCTTTATTTTCAACATCAATCCTTTTGAAATGATGTTTAATGCAAGTTTGCATAAATGCAGCAAGTAAAATACTTCTCCTGATTGATTTCTCTTCAGAATCATTTGGCATAACTCTGCTAAGGCCCTGCCCAGACATAAACTCTCATTGGCTCTCATCCAAGCAAGAGGATGACATCATTCCCACACACCTCAAATCCAGGAAATGGGAGTCATTCCCTGCATTTGAGGTAATTCATAATCTATAGGTGATCTATTGTAGGTGTGAACTTGCTTTTTGAATTAACTTTGGACCTGCTGTGGCACAAAGAACTAAAAAAATTATTTTTTGCTCCCAAACATGTTTGGAAATGTCTCTGTGTTTTAAGCATGCAGTTTAGTATGGATTACCTATAATGTCTCGATGGTTTGTTTCCATGTCTGGTGCTTAGAAGAAGACTCCAGGCCCGCCTTTTGGGACTACCCTTGGTTGTAGTCTTGAGTTGAAGGAAAAACCGCCAAAGTCTAGTTCCATCCACATCCATCCGGTTTTGGAGTGCCCTGATGTGCTGCTGGTGCGTCAGATGACCCAGCATCCACCTGTTACTGAAGCGCTGCGCAGGAACCTGCAAGACAAAGTCAAGGTGCCCTAATTCCTATAACACATACTAATTCAAAATATGTTTTTTTAGGTTAACTTTTTATAACTTTTCTGTGATGGTATAGTGTGACAATAAAACCACAATATTGCCAGACCCATTACTGTTCTCTTTTCACTTCCCGTCAACATCCATTGTTTTGAAACTGACCAGCTACTGAATGTGATTTTGAAAATGGTGTTTTTTTTACCTAGTGGTTTGAATATACACATTTATATCTATGCATATTTATATATTATTATGTTCCCAAATGGTATTTTTTTCTGGCCAGGATATATTTTAAATATATGTGACATATATATTATAAACAGCATGGCTTAATATATTTTTCAAAGGAAAAATATAATTGGTTTAAACCTTCAAATGCCAAAATATATTACAAAATATATTTCAAGGGGCAAGAAAATACATGTCCAATCTTAAAATACATTTTGTGTACATGCAAAATGTTTTTTAATATATTTTGGACAATATACATATATTTAGATGTAGATGTAAATATATTTTTATATATATTAGCAATATAATTTTGGAAATTTTAGCATATTTTAAAATATACTAGAAATATACCTGAAATTATATTTTTGCTCCATGGGTTTTATCCAACAGGTGTATTTGGAGCAGCTGCTGCAGAGAGAGAATCAGTGGGAGAAGATGGAGCTGAAGGACCCGCGTACAGCAGAGGAGAAAGTTCATCAGAACGATCTACTGCAGCTTGTACTGGTCAGACAGGATCCAAGATCATTATTAATTAATGATTCAACATTCAGATGTCTATAGGTCATATTTATATATTGTATATGCTGGCTTGGCTTTAAATACATTTAAAACTTAACGTTTGTTTTAGTCCCTGCCTGATGCTGTAGACCCTCCAGTTGCAATGGAGATAAGGCCTCTGTCAGGTGAGAAAATTTAAATAAGAAATATTAATAAATTATTTCTAAATATTTAATTGTAATCATAAATAATAATTATTTAATTTAAAATTCATTGTAACTCTTAATTTATAGTTATTTAATCCTCTGATGTACAGATTACTAAATTACAAAAAGAAAAAAAAGTTTATTTTTATTTCAAAACTAATAATCATCCAAATATAATCATCCTCAGTATTGTTTAAATTATGAATTATGAGAAGCATGTTCACTGCAATATTAGATACGCTCTCAGAAAAAAAGGTACAAAAGCTGTCACTGGAGTGGTACCCTTTCAAAAGGTACTAATACAGTATGTACCTTTAAGGTATTAATATGTATAATTTAGGGGTAAATTAAGGTACAAAGACCCAGTGACAGCTTTGTAACTTTTTTTTTTCCTGAGAGTGTAGTGAATAGCAATACAAAAAAAAATGAATAAGAATTTTAGTGATGGCATTTAACTACTAGATGATTTTTAGCTCTGTTAAACTCTGCCATTCATAGTGAAGCTCTCACTGTTTGCCTGTTTTTGTTCCTGTCGCAGCTGATGTGGCGTCTCTCTATACTCAAGCAGTGCGAGCAGCTCAACATCCCCACGAGCTACAGGAAAAGAGAGAAGAGAAAGTTACCAAGTGGTAATCTCCTGTCTTATCTACAATATGTAAAATATACACCAGAATAAGTTATTAATAACATGCTTATTGTGGGTAAATTTGCTCAGCCAATGGACTGGTATTTGTAGATAAAAAAACAGACCACAGATTATGTTACAGAAGGTGTGAAAGAGCATAGTGACTAATTGCTCTTACACGGTTTGCTTTCAACTTCTGCTTTTGCAGTGTCAATAAAAAGAAGTAAAAGTCACTGTGGGAAAACAGGATTAACCAGCACAGGTAAACAGTTATTCTGTTCGAATGGTTTTGTTTTCAGAAAGAAAGAGGGCGATGTATAGATGTTTTGTTTGCCCAACCTTCAGGCAAGAACTCCGGGAGCAGAGAAGACACAGAAACGCACTCAGACACCATATCGTTACTCCATACTTTCACCCTGAGCTGAAGGAAATGTCACTCGTTACAGATGAGGCTAGTACAACCATCTGAATATTTCTTAAGAGCTTAATAGCAACCAGTTTGTCTGCATTGTTTATTTAGATCAAAGATTCCTAAACATTTTTATCAGTCAAACCCTAAAATATCTGCTTTAATATTTACCTTAATATTTAAAAAATGTAACGCTTTTGCATTTTCATGATACTTTTATGTTGGTAAATGGTTACATGACATGCAAGTAAACAAATAAAATATTTAGAAGTGTTTTATTTAGTTTATTTTTATTTGTTAATTATTTATTTATTTGAATCTTACATTTTTATGATTTAATTATTAGCTGTTCATTAACTTACGAAACCCCTCTATATCAGAAACCCTGATATAGAGCATTTCTGTCAGGATGAAAGATGATTGACAATTAGCATACAGTTTGGATTGGCGGGATGGTTCGGTTCTGGGTAAGAACTCCCTGCGCATCCATGCAGCCTAGCATGGATGAGAGCAGGGAGAGCAGCCCCCCAGGGTTAACAGAACAGAACCAACATAAAAATATTGCAGATATCGTTAAGTTCAATAACTTTATGTACACATTTTAGAATTAGTCTGATTAATTCAAAGGAGAATCAGAAGGCTGAATCCTGACTGACAGAGGAGGAGCTGGGGATGGAGGAGGGTAATTAGCTATTGAGCAATGCGAAAACGGCTGATAATACTGAGGGACCTTATATATGAGTGCTTAGATAGGTGTCGTATTCCTATAGGTAGATGGGGATCAGCTGAGAGTCAGCTGATGCGAGCTTGACTAACGTGACCTGCCAGAACTAACGCTACGCTTGATGTATATAAATGGCCACATTGACATCTATAACATTAATGTATCAGGGGGACCTGTTATATCACTATTCTTGTCTTCTGTTAGGATCTAGACTTGAGCTCACTCTCCCTGGATCTTCCACCCTTCCCCAGAGCGCAGCGCTTCTCCACGGCCTCTTCATCAAGCAGAAGTAGTATCTGTAAGGTTTAAAGAATAACAATAATATTTAAGTATTATTTTTAATGGAAAGTCTTCAGAAATAAACTTTGGGTACTTTATCTGATTCTACAAATACAGATGCATTAAAAAACTTGTGAAAGCTTTGCCAAGGCATCTGTTATTCAGCATTTTCTGGAAATGTCTCACTCCAAAAAATAGTGCAAAAATTGTGTAAGCCATCAAAATGCCATATCAAAAGTTGATCTTTTTAAATCTCACACCAATCCACTCAATAAAAAATATAGACAAATATTTCCCCTCAAAAATATGCAACTGCATTTGCTTAATGTCAAAGGCAACATGATAAAGTATTACTAAAATTAGTTCACCGATAGCTGTTCTCAGGCATTCACAGTATTTATTGCAATAATGGAAGCAGGTCTGCCAAGATTAGAATAATTACAGCATCTTAGATGAGAATTAATAATGAAAGTGAAAACTTTCACTTTGAAATATTCTTGAAAAAAAAATCATTAAATGGGTGTGAACGGAAATGCTTATTAAACTACATGTGGTAACGAATGATTCAGCAGATGTTACAAAAACTGCACTTGCTGTTCTTTGTTAACCAGTTTGTGTGCTCACAAAGATGTGCTGAATTTAAAAATGCAGTTGTTTAAATCACCTTTCAGTGATGGTAATATTATTTTTTTATCATCTCAGTGAGCAAACTTTGTGAGGTACAGCTTCGTTTATTTCCGCAGATTCACCTGTAAGGGAAAGGCCTGATAGGCACCAGAGTTTGAAATAAGGAAACCCCCTCACTGCTGTTTGACAGTTCACTTCGGTTCTTCTGTGTTATGAACACTTCCTCTAAAATGAAAGCAGAAGCGGCAAAGTGATTCAAGACTTGTACACCAAAGCAAAACACACACACACACACACACACACAAGACAGAATCTGTATAGTGACTTAGAAAGGACAAAGACAGTGAAAAGAATCACATGGTAGTGAGAGCTTGCCTAGTTCAAGGTGGGTAAGGAGAAAGTAAATAGACGAAACTGGTTCAGCAGGTAAACCGGCATTAAACGACTGTTGTGGACTGCTAGCACGCTCAAGTGATGTGGTAAATATTTAATCAAACCGAAGATTTCCAACATTCTCAAGCTACAAATCGGAGACACGAGAGAAAGTTTGCACTGTGGTAAGTCACCTTGAACATGTGTTTCTATACTACAAACCACGAGTGTGATGTCCTTTCATGTCTATAATGCTTGCTTTCATTCTGTAGAAACACCTGTTAGCTGTTGGTACATCGCCTGAAAGTTACTGGAAATTAACAAATTGTGTTTTTAACTGATAAACAGGAAACATTATGCAATGTTTATAAGAACAAGTACACAGCAAAACTTTTGAAATGCCAACAAATGTAGAAGCAGGAATTGTGTTCACATTTACCTGTTCACATTTATAGAAAAATAAACATATATAGACAATGTTTTATATATATATATATATATATATACACACACACACACACACATATATATATATATATACACACACACATATATATATATATATATATATATACACACACACATTTGCACAAAAATTTTACATGCAAAATTAAATATTTGCCTATTTTACGAGTTGCTGCATTTATGGAGAAACAGTCTGTTGACAGACTCGAGTTTCCAGAGTTTCACGAAGACCTGGTAAAATCAAACTAGCCAAAACAACTGATGCAACGCATGATAAAAAAAAAATGAATACATATGATAAAAAAATGAATATATAATATAATTATTTTATTTTTCAAATTAAAAACTACGTTTTGCATTTAGGTGACTCTCACTATGTGGCTTTTTTGAATTTCCTGTGGTGAGAACGGCGCAAATAATAACTTCCTCATAAGACAAAACATATTAGTGTTGATGCTAGAAGCTCACTCACTGTAGGCTACAATGTAGTGGACTTGATTAAATAATTCGTATAACATTGCAGGTTCTCAGAAGACATTTTCCATCAATATCACTACTAGCTCCTTCATATATAAAAGCTTATGACCTAACAATACTCAAAATAATGGAAAATGAGAACGTAAAGTAGCTCGAGTCATGCTACATTGTGCTATATTGCCCTCTAGAGGTCGGGGCAAGCTGGTCCTGTGTTTCTTTTGTGTTTAGGGAAATAGTACGGTGGCGGAGAAGTGCTAAACAAATCACAATTCTGAAAACAAAATAACAAATTACAAACGCAAATGCAAGTCTAAAAAACTAAATAATTCAGAAAACACAATGACAAATTCGAAAACAAAATAAGTCAGAAAACACAACGACAAATCAGACAAACCGGAAGAGGTAGGTATAGTTTGAGACAGCGCCATTGGTTTGGGATTACTCACCGCTGACTGGACGAGACATCTGGCAATCAACTTATACAGGGAAGAACCAGCCGAAGAACAGCAGAGTCGTGGTAGAAAGTTCGGAGATGGTATTAAAGTAGCTCAGTTTAAATGTATTGTATGAATTGCCCTTACTATGTAATAAAAATATACGGGGTGAGTAATCCCAAACCAATGGCGCTGTCTCAAACTATACCTACCTCTTCCGGTTTGTCTGA